AATGTCTCTGGCCAGACAATATTCAAGACGTCTCGCCAATCTCCTGTTGAATGTATGCTGACGTTAGACATCTTTTTCTTTATGAAGCGCATTGCTTAAGACTATCCAATTTATGTGCAACATGGGAATCGATTTTCTATTTTCTTTAGTAGTGGTATCATGTAGTTGAGTGTAACGAGTTGTTTTCAGCCTTTTCTTCATTCGCTTGTTCACCAGAGCTGTTGAAAGTCGTCCCTTATGCAAGAATTTTGAAGATCTTACTACTTCAGGATGGAATTGTCCTGAATATCTATAAAAATTACATTTTTTTTCTCTTTGAGATAAACAATTTTCAACGTCCTCATGTCATACCGACTGTCACAGGTATTCTCGACCATTTCGCTGGCTTAAGATGATGCTGATACAGTAGACACTGGTCTTATTGATATGATATTATCAAGCGCAAATTGGATTGCCATGATGTTGGATCTTCTGCTAATTTATTTAACTGTCTCCTGTAGGAACAGTGATTCTTTTGGGTGAATCAGGATCAGATTCCATGTTTAATCAGCTATGGTTGTTTCCGTTGCACATAAGAATTTTTTTCACTAGTCAGAAATAAATAGCATAAAAAATAGTACAAATGATATTGTGCAAACAATAGCTAACATAATCGGGTCCTTCAACATAATCAGCCTTTGTGTGGCTGCTAATGCAGGTAAATTGATCGTTTAGCGAAACTATTAACCATTTTTACCGTTAACTTTCCATTATGACCAGTTCAGATTAAGAAAGTCTACACCTTCATCTACTGGCCTTATTACGGTGTATACAGTCGTCGTTCGTATGTATATTTTTGTAAATAAAAAGTACAGCTTAATGTTACTCTGGTGCTACTGATTTACGCTAATTGATTTGAATTCAGTTATATTCTGGGCGTGCTTTATGTCGGAAATTTTGATTTTCATTATTAGCAAATGAGCGTCAATGTTTTCAGTTGCAAATTTTGAGTTCATACAACATTTTAATAGGCCTTGTTGTCCTGTCAAATATAAGGCTATTTCTTATCTTCTGTTTTGTTTGACGCCGGTTTTGGTATATTAATTGGACAGGTGCTATGGAGGGTTTTACCTACAAGTGACATCGAATTCCAACTTAAGACTATGAATCATTTATGCTGTTTTTATTGATGGAAAGTTTTTGTCTGAGATGGTCTTGGTCACTTCAAGGACTTAATTGATTGATTAAAACCGTCTCGGTGTTTTCAGGAAGACTTTGCGGCGCTGTCCCATAACGGAGTCTTACGAGTCAGTCACAGCGTCGAGAACCTCTCGAAGTCGTTAGCCGAAACGGCTCCTTCGAATACCGGGCTAAAGATGCCTTCTCCTCCAATTTCTCTTGATGTCGAATTGTGCGCCGCGACCTCAAATGCCCTCCAACCGAAGGAGACTACTGGTAGCGAAAACTTGGAAAACACCAGGAACAATAAGGTAATCACTCATGTAGGCAAGCTGAGCAAGCACAATTGCTGCACCTTAACAGTCATTAAATTGAAGTACTACTCTATCTATATCAAATTTCATTAGTTATATATAATGGGTGGAAAAATATACTGTTGGGCCTAGTAGCATTTCTCATCTGTTTGGTATTGTCGGAATCAGAAATGTCTCTGATTTTTACTGCCAGGCTTGCTCTGGGGTTAATACGGGGTGGTAGTAAAGACTCTTGGTTATTTCACCTTCTGGTTCCCTCGTTTACATTGCCGTGAAAGTTTCATGACCTTATGCTTTCAGTGTACATCTGACGTCTGTGTGGAGACTGATAATATTAGTGAGCTGCTATAACAAATAAAATATTCATTCATTCCAGAAAATTTCAAAATTAGAATGGTGTTAGTATCGTAAAAAATAATGGAAATGTAGAATATTATTGAAAACAACATAAAACGCTTTATTTATACAAATCGCAAACAATAACGTCATTCGAATGATTGACCAGTACTGCCGTTTCAGTCCATGTCTGACCAGCTTTCGTCAAGGTACGGATGTGGATTAGTTTCAGTAGATCGGTTTGTCATTCCCAGCTCCTCCATCTTTTTGAGCCAGAAGACTTTGTGTGTGTGCTGAAATGGATTTGTCGAGACAAATTGCTTCGCTCAAGCGTCTAAATATGGTCCGGAGTTCAGGTATCCGAGAGAATCTCGGTATACAGCCCGCTGCTTCTACAGATCGAGAAGCCACAGTTTGAGATATTTGAGACATTTCAGAGCCACGATAGTATGAGCATGTTTCCAGAAAAGAAGACGAAGCAACTACTATCTGCTCAATCTACCGGTCGAAGACCCCGCGGAAGGTCAAATATCTATTGTTGCAATTGGGTGAAAGGGCTTTGCTCCAGACTAGAGTTATCTTCTGTCACAACTCAGAAACTGAGGTTGTTGCCTCAATGACAAGTGGTCACCATAAGTGACTAACTAACTAAAATTCAAAACAAATTCACACTTTCAGCAAGAGCTCAAAATCAGCCACAAACAGGGACGAATAAATCCGAGTAAAAATCGCCGCGGATCAGCCATTGCTGCAGTACACGTAAGTAGCTGCTGCGGAATTTCCAGACGACTGAGACTTTTTACACAGAAAGTTTACTAAACAACTGCCAGAAATGTGTTGTTTCAGAGACATGCAAAAACAGTTTATATAACAATTTTCGAGCAGGTTTCAGCTAGTTGGCTATGCTGAGCCCATGGCTTTACATAGGTTTCTAGAAATTTTCCGATTTTAAGTTGAGTTAGTATAGGCCATTTAACCTTCATGTTACTCACTGTGTTTCGTCTTGTTGTAATTTACGAATCTTAGCGAAGTTTTATCGGTCTTTTACAGGTTGTCCCCAACAGAAAAAAGGCGTTCAGCCTATGCGAAAAAAAGCGCTACGTTTTGCAATCTGAGGTGGTGAACTATTTAGCGTTCGTCAACGAAGATTTGTACAATATCCAGAGAAGACTGTTGGAAGACACAGCAAGGTTTAAGGTAAGGGTAACGTTACGGTAGAGAGGATGAGGTTAAATCATCAACTGAAACGTGTATCATATGGTCTTTTTAGGTAAAGCTTCGCAAGATAATCGAAGAAGCTGTGTCGCACTGCTATCGCGATCTGCTCTGGCAGAAGCTGTTGATGGGAGTCACTTTAGCACATAGCAGTAAGCAAAAAGACCAGGTACTGCAATTCGATAATAATTAAATGTGGTTTTAGTTTTTGTGTTCTGCATTTATTTGATTTTTAGAGCATTAAAATAACATTCAATGAATTCGAACTTCTTCTCGAATCAGTGTACAGAACGCCGTTGCAAAACACGGACGAGCAGCTGCAGTCGTTACTAAATCTCAGCAGTAGCAGGTGATTAACGTTTATTTCTTGGTAGTTACAATAAAACTATGTAGCCTATCGTCGACGAAGCAATTACAAACTGATAGTTTATAGAAAAAATCTATTTAGAGACAACGGGGCCAAAAAAGAACTATTTGCTTATTGATCATAAAGACTATTTTCTTGGTTGTCTTCAGAATTATATTATGGAAATTTTTATGATCATAATTGTTTGGTTATTTTTTGTTGATAATCGCCAGATTTCAGCCTGGTATATAGGCTATAAGGGTACGCATTTTCCATTTGACTGTGTCGTTTAGTAGGATTGTAGCTGTATTCCTTCAGCTGTGTGGTTTAAACTTCTCTCTTGCTTTAGGATGATCGGGTTGATTAGATGTCTACAAACAAAATTTACCGAGCATTGTCGTTTCCTCATCAGTCCTGATCTGAAACGACAGTATTTAGTAAGAATATTTATTGCATTGATCTAAAAAGAAGCGATCATATTTTGTGATTTTCAGGTACTGCTGAATCCGAACTATCTTGACTGTTTTATCATGGTACTTGCGGACTGCGCTAAGCGGAAGTCTGGAGCGTTTCTAGTGTATAAAGACGTACAAGCGTTCGAAGCGGAATTGGAAGGCGGCGTCGAAAGCAAGATGTTCAGGTCGATGAGTGTGCAGCATTTCTGTGAAGATTTCATCAACGTCGCTGCCTACTTTGCTTGGACACAGTTGCTAGCATCGTCGTGAAATATGAATTTGGCCATGATATGGGATGCTACCATTATCTCCCTCATGTTTGTCTCAGGTACTTCCTCTTGGGCTGATTGCGGTTCGCACTAATGTGAAGACTTTTTACCTGCTCGTCACAAGCCTTTTCCTTAAGCCCTTTGTTTTCTACCAAGCGGTGGATAAGAGTCTCACAATGTTTTCGAAAAGAACCAGCAATCATCTGCCCATGACACGACATGACAATTGTTTGACACCACTACCGATAGATCAGCGGAACGCTTCAGAGACTATGTAAGACTGTAATCGACTTTACCGTCTGTTATGATTTAACGAATCTTTGATGACTCACAGCTTATAAAGTTTGTTTCTGCTTCTAGATAGAACGTTATCGTGAGATTTTTGCTGCTGAAATACAGTAAACCGCAAAATTGAATGTTGCTTGTTTCTGCCATTAGTAGGTAAAATCTGCATCAAGGCTGTGTAATGCATTGCTATAGTGCCGTGTTTTCCTATAACTATATGACGAACACTATTACGATTTGTGAAATAAATTGCTCTTGAAGCTCTTCTGGATGATATTCCCACTTCCTTTAAAATCCGTGTTGTCTGCAACTAGGCTGTTCAGTATATTTGATTGGTTTTGCCTGTGCGTACAACCATTAAACTAATAGACCCTCCCTCTTTTAGTCTTATGCAGTAGATCGACGTACGGCTGTACCTGACACATTTGCATACAAGTAACTCAGAAACATTTGAAAAGTGCTTTACGATGTGACACCACATATCGAACTTATTCCATAGATATTGTCAAAAGTTTCGGATCATGCCATATACCTTCAGGCAGGTACATAATCCATGATGGAAGCTTTAGCCTAGCTACCTGCTTCATAATTTCGTTCGTTCAAATGCGACTTTAGTTCCGTACCAAAGTGAATATGGATCGATCATGATCCGAAACGTTGCAAAACAATATCTATTATAATGAATTCGATGTCTGGCATCATTCCATAGAGGACAGTTGCAACATAAGAGTCAAATTCCGTTCTTAACTGATAAACAAACATTTACATATATTACAACTGGCATCCTTTTACTCAGCTTATTCATATTTAGTTCGAAAACAACAAAAACTTTACTGTTCCCAGAGTGATTGGTTTTTTCTACATTTTCGTTTTCCGTAATCGTCGGTCGATATCTTTTAGTGATAGGCCGCCGGTCACCTTACAACGGCGTAGTAAGACTGCCAAAAGTGGAGGTAACTGTGGAAATGGCTGACTGAATTTCGGTAGCGTTTGGTGGAATTGCCCACTCTGGATATATGTCGAAATCCACAAACACTTTCGCCAAAGTATGGCAATGTAGAACCACCAGAACCGTACACATTATCGAAACGAGGATTCCTGAGCCAACCTGAAACAAGAAAACGATGAAAACAAAATTAAAACATTTAAAAATTGTGCTGTCATGTCAACTTTCGAAGTCAAAGCTACGTTTTGCGTAATTCCCTTGAACATGGAATTTACCCATCCTCTAA